GGAGGGGAGGGGGGTGAGCTGTGTATGTGTGTGTGAGCACACCCGTGTGCACGGCTCCGTGTGTGCACAAGTCTGTGTGTGTGTGTGCGTGTGCGTGCAGGGATGTTTGTGCACAAGTGTGTGTGTGTAGGGGGGTGGCTTAAAGTGTGGGTGCACTGGGGGGTGTGGGTGCACACACGTGTGACGGGCCGTGTGTGTGTGTGTGTGTGTGTGTTCAAGTATGGACATGCGTGTGGTTTGTGTGTGCATCTGTGCATCAGCGTGTGCGAGTGTGCACTCTGCCTGCGCGTGTCTGCATTTGTGCAGTTGCTGTGCGTGTGTGATTTGCGTTTGTGTGTTTGCGCGGTGTGTGTGCACATGTGCAGATATGTGTGTGCACACGCATGTGTGTGTGTGTGCGTGCATGTGCTGGGGGCCGTGCACACCTCCGGGGCTGTGCTGCAGCCTGTGTAGGGTGAGGGGGTGCCCCGGGGTGTCCCTGTGTGTGTGTGTGTGTGTATGGGGGGGGGTGATGGGATGAAAGGGTGCATGTGTCCCCGAGGACCCCGCCACTACGGGAGTCCTTTTGGCCATCTCCAGCCCCAGCGCCCAGGAAGAAGCTGGTGCGCGTTAAAGTCGTGAAGAAGAAGGTGGTGAAGAAGAAGCCGAAGGCTCCGGCCAAGGAGGCGGCTGCTCCACGGGAGCCTCGTACGTACGCTGAGTGCCAAGGGATAGGGCAGAGGGTCCTGCGGGGCTGCACAGGCACACACGTGTGAGCACACACCTCTACGCCTTGCACACGCCTCCACACGCACCCGCACACCTTGACACGCGCACCCACACATGTGGGGAATGGCCCCAACCCTTCCCCCGTGCTTGGGGCAGGGGGGTCGGCACGGCCACCCCCCATACCAGGCACATGCTGTCACACACGCGTGGTCCCCAGGCTGTCACACGTGCACACCCTGCCTGCTCACAACCGCCAGTGCTGTGCACGCACCCTGCGTGTGACGGCACAGGAACACCCCCTGCAAACTGTGCACAGACACCCATCCTGCAGTGGGGATGGAGGATGCTGGCAGGGCTCCTTCCCCCCTCTGCTGTCCCCCCCTGCCCCTCTGCGTGACGGGGAGTGGGGTTTGCATGACGCAGAGTGGGGTTTGCATGACGCAGAGCGGGGTTTGCCCTGGCTGCGGTCGTGGCTGCGATCGTGGCCATGGCTGCCGGACCTGGCTGCGTCCCTGTGCCAGGGGCTGGAGTTTG